GAGAGACATTTTGTTTACAATTTCCTTAAAGTTTTTGAGAAGGGTGGCAGTTCAAGTTAAGTTCGCCTATTTGACTGAAAATTTTTTTCCAGAATTACATTCAGTTTAATAAAACAAAAGACACACTTTACCTTAATTTCGTGAAATGTTTTTTTGCTCAAGTTATTGGTTGGTCTTGCCAACAATTATGATTGCAGTTTGTGAAATACGGGTGTTTTATTGATTATTGTTATATCATCTTTCGCTATCTCCATGATTTTAAACTAATGAAAAGCAATGGTATATTTTTCATGTTTTCGTCTATTCGTTTTAATAAACAGACATAACAACAATTAAAAACTTCAGTTCGCTAAAACGAACGCTTACAAAACTGTTGTTTTGAGCACAGAATTTCAAACAGACTATGTCCTCCGTATGTAACTTTAACACAGGTAGGTAGTTTTCTGACTTCTCAAAAAGCCGTCCAAAAAAGGTTTTGCGGTTTTGACCTTCCTATCATCTGCACAGATAGCAGAATAAGATTCATTTTTGACTCGGAACTCCTCAATCTATTCCAGTTACCGGGTTATTGTTATATTAATTACAACAAGTTGTCAAAATGCAGGATATAAGTTGCCATTTGCGTTGGCGGTAGGCGAATGAAGTTTAGACGAAGATGTTAAGACATAAGAAGAACTTTTGCAAAACTGTGTGATTCTTTGTGTTTAAAGAATGATTAACCTTTTTCGTTTCATTCGCGTAAGTGTTTTCCTTGGTCCAACTTCGTCCGTGTACTTTACAAAGAATAGTAATTAGTATTATGTTTTAACCAAGCCTCTACTTTACGCAAATCCCTCGGGGTCCCTAAAGTCAGTTCAATTTGCATCACAAAATTAAGTGCAATTACTGAAAAAAAAAAAATTATGATCTTTTCTTTTTGCCGTAAAGTTTTCAGTCAAATCTCATTGTGATACCGCTGTGATATTCAGTGTTGTCATATGCAGTGTGATATGGTCAACATTAATATTTTCATTTCACTAATTTGCCGCCTGTCAAACACATTTTCCGAGCCTACCCATAGTTTAGTTTGTCAGGGGAAAGAAAAATATCATTTAGAAAATTGCTAAAGACAACATGTTTGCTTACACTGTGCGCAGGTGTTTGAATAAAATAAGTTCAGGTTTTAAATATTTTAAAACAGCACTCCAGCGGAGATCAATTAAAGCCGGCATACGCATGCAGCTATAGTTTAGTTCCCTCTGGTGCCTTTGAAACGCTTCGAAAATATCAAGATCTTGGGACGGCCTTCGTTATAGCTAACATAAGGTAAGCTACTGGCTACGAATTCTCTCACAATATGTATAGAAATATCAAAACATGGACACAAATAGGTTATATTTTGGGCTTTATTTTTCTGACTACACAGTACGATACACCTCCAAATTAGAGAAAATCCTTAACATTAAATGTTGATGTTTGACTTAAGAAAAAACTCGAAAGAAAATGAGGAAACCCGTTCACCTGTCTTCTTTTCTGTATTAAATGCAAAGGTGTTTCGTCCACTGAGATTTTAGTTGCATATAGTTTTCATCACAACGAGCTGCGACCATTCTAATACGAACTATTATATAGTAGATTTGAAACGCTTTGAACCTTTCAATATTTTCACCTTTGTCTATCTGCCAGGTAGAGACGAGTTCTTATATACTGAAAAAAAAAAACAGAAAAAAAAGCAATTAAAAAACAAATGACAACGTCCGAGAAAAAAAAATTAAATTTAATTCCTGTTGACTTGAACCGATGTCAACCGACACGTTTTCACTGAGACGAATTTGATCAAACCCAGGCATTTAGTGGCGCACATAGAACAGAATCGACGAAAAAACGCCTAAGAGTTAACCGCTCGTAATTGCAATACGACAATATAATGAGTTTCAGCTATATACTGTACATGGTAAGCTAATATATTTGTCGCCAACAAATCCCTTGAAACGCATGGCGAGTTTATTTAGCATAGCGGGTAAAACAGGTGTTTTTCGACGTTACTGAGCATTAACAAATGTACTTAACATTTTGAAACTTAGTTTTCAAGGAATAAAAGGAAAACGCGCAAAAAGTTTTTTTTGTGATGACAGATATATGGTTGCCATGATTACGCTGGTTTTGAAGGTTAAAGAAGTATTTGCAGAAAACCCTTCAAAACATTGTTGAACTTTGTAAAATGTTTTATTGTTGGAAGTTTGTACTGTTACTCTGTATGTGAAACCCTGGCATGTAACTATTCAAAAGAGAACTGCTGAACAATACTTGCTTTCATACCACGAGGTGCTGTTTATTTCTGTATAAAAGGCTATAATAACTCTGGATTAGATTTAGATTTTTAAACTTAGCTACTCTTTCAAGTTCAGGGAGCAGTAGAAATACTCCTAGTTGCTTAGTGCTGCACGTGACACTTCGCGCGACGTAGACTTTACCTTCTCCTGAAAGTTAAACAGAAATTCCCTATCTGTTCATCTGTTCCTTTCTAATTTTCTATAATCATTGAGTTTTTCAGTTCTCTGCCGTGAAATTAGAACGTCTGACACTCAGCCTGGCCCTTCGTCAACACGGCTCTTTGGGGGAGTCTTTGCTCCGGTTTCTGTCGCTCCATCAAGCAAATAATTATTACTAATCAGTCCTTACAAGATCTGTGTAAAGAAAGTCAAAGACAGGCTACTTCCGCGCAATTTACTCTAGAAACTGAGGCGCAGTGGCGTAACTCGATTGTTCGTTCGTGCGTGTTCTGGATTCAAGCACTAGATAGTTTTAGGGCGTTGTATCCTTGAACAGGAGATGCACTTTACCGTCACCGTGCCTCCTTCTGCCCTGGAATCAGATCAATGTGCAACGGTTAATTGCTCAAAAGGTAACCTTACAAATGTTGGGAGTAGCCTTCGATGGACAGGGGTGAATAGTTTACAATCCTGGACAAAACTAGTTGTGACAAATGAAAGAAAGTTATCTCCATTTTTCTGTTGTACTGACTAAATTCCAAAACTTCTCTTCCCCCTGGCAATATTGTTTGGGCTACTGAACACGTGACTCTCCGTAGGTTTTCAGACCAAAACAACATTGAATAGGTAGTAGGGTAAGGAACGACTTTGATGTGGTTTTATTACATCGTGACATCCGGTGGCGGATCTAGACCTTGAGTTAAGGGAAGGCGAGGGGAGGGGGGGGGGTGGGGGGCAGTTTCGTTTTCCTGTTGGCTTTTCTTCCTCCTGTGATTTCTTCTTTTTTTACCCAAAATAAGTGAGGACCGGGCCCCCCTGGTGCCTTCCCTAAATCTGCCACTGGTATTGCGCGTAATTGAAACATTGACAAAACTATCTCATCCGTTTTTATTCAACGTTGTAGCTCCTCCATGCTAAAAAAGCCGAGATTATTTGAGCGCGACACCGATGAGCAGCTGCAACCGAACCCAGGCAACATATGTAAAAAAGAATCAAGATCAAAAACAACACGAGGTTAAACGTTCGACGTGCGTGTGAACACATATTTAAAATATGGCTTCAGTCAGTGAGCAAACAAACATTTACTAGAGGTTTACTGAGCATTAGCAACACGCACAAATTACTCTTTTGCGCTGACAATTTGCCTGTGGCTTGATATTTCAGTTGCACAAAGCAATCTTAAAGCAATTAGGTTAGAGGTGTTAAACATACGGGTTGATGTTTTTTAATTTCCTTGGAAGTCTAGTAATGTTCCTGTGTTAGATTGTTCTTTAACCGTAGATTGCAGCATTTAATTTCCTTGAGTTTATGTTCGTTTGAATGAATAGTGTTACTAATAGATTGCCTTTTAATTGTGAGGTCAGCTGTGAGAAGGCCTAGGGAAGTGGGAGGTGGCCACTTAACAGCCTTAATAGAGGTTCGCCAGGAATTAGTATGAAGCTTATAGAAACGTCAAGTTATTCAGATACAAACATGCTTGAAGGCTTGTGACTACTGTTACGCGTACGTAACAAAGCCAGTATGCGTCCTTGAAAAATCACTGTCACAAATTTAATTTACCATCGGGTTAACTGCTTTGTGAAAATGGAATAACGTAATGACAATCATTATAAACGTGTGTTTGAATGTTTTTGTATTACTAGTCTTCATCTTCTATTTCGGACTCAGACAAAACAAAGCCAAACTACGTGGATTTAATTTTGGGTGGCCGCTTAATAGGGGTAAAGACAACAGAAAACCCTCATTGGGACGACCGAAAGGTGCTAAATAGAGGTGGCCGGTTAATAGGAGCTTCATTTGCAGCTTTGTGCTGACAATTCTTTCGGGACTTTGATTACCGGACGCTGGATAAGGGGGTGGCCTCTTAGTAACAGGTGGCCGCATGATAGAGGTTGACTATATAATTGTTTTCATTTCCTTATATAATGCTGGCATTCTGAATTTGAGTTAAAGTAATTTCGTGTTTCGTTCAGGCGGACACTGATGAGACAACATCGAGCAGCACAAATAGATAGAAGAAAAAGGTGGGCTTAAAATCTGAAAAGTATCGTAACTCACTTCAGAGAAAAAATTATGTATACCATTTTCATGTTCGGAGCTTGGTTTTCTCAATCTCAAAATTCGACTTCTTCTTTGGCTTAAGATTTATTGAAGTTCGCGTTTTTTTCCGCCTGCAAATCATAATCATCTAACTAACCTTTTCCATTTTCTTATTCTTCTTCAAGAATATAATCACCCTCAAGGTCTTCAGCTCTGACGATTTTTGCAGATAACTTCTAAGGACTTCGGCATCCTTGGCTTGTTCAGTAACGGTTGACGTAAGTTAAATATCCCCGTCAATAGACAAGGGTAGATCAGACTCGAATCGCGAAGCAACAAATCGATGCTCTGAACTTTATTAGAAAATGGGCTTGTCTCAGTCATTTTTGTTGTTGTTGTTTTTGTTGTTTAGAGTCATCATTAATACCCTAAATATCTAGGAAGAGAATTTAACCATCAAAATTACCTTAGTCATAATTTTTTCATAGACATTGCCTCAGTCATCGGTTTTTCTGACTACGGCCCTGAAATGCATTCAGCAAATCGTCTAAAATTTTGGACGAATTTTTTTTCTCAAATTTCCAACATTTTATCCATACCCATTCAGTTTTCAGTGAGTGTCGAATTATAAGTTATTCATATGAGATACTACCAAAATCGATTCTTAACCTAGTGGCATGTAGCTCCGACTCACTCAAGCTTTTAATTCACACGAATTTTTTATATACGATTTCAATTTTTACACATGCCTTCCATGCATGAGTCTAAAACTGTAAGCTTATAGACTTATTAAAGTATTTCGTTTTTTGAGTAAAATTGATATCTGCAATTTCTTGTACTGTAAAAAAGAGTAATGATAAAAGTAGGCTTGTTTCCTTCAAATGACGAAGTGCCAAGTAGATTTTGCTGTTAAACATGCAAAAAGGATCACACGTTCGATAATGGTTCTGCAAATCGACATCTGAAGTGCGACGTGCCTGACCAAGTGCTCGTGTAGCGTCATCAACCCCATTTTAAATTCTTGTTCGTATCTCGGTGTTGATTGACAGTTCAATGCTGTTCCCAATCAAGTTAAAGGAAAACACCATTTAACTCTTGCTCACGTTTTAATCAGATCCAGACACAGTTTTAGTGAAAAACCTTGAACTGATCAACAAATACCTCAGTGTAATAGCTCGAAATAGTCTCAGGCTGCATGGACACATGAACGTAGCGGTTACAAACAACATTTGGGGCTAGAGGTGATCGGGCTGATAAAATAGTTGCGTTTACAGGTAAGACGTACTATTGCAAAGGACAAACTAGGCTTGACATTCAAGTCCTTCTGTTTATTAGTGCCAGTACACGAGAGCGATCAACCCTCTTATCAGTTATCTTAAGTCAAGGAAAGTTTCGTGTAAACATTACAAGTTCAGAATGGATCGAGGAAAAAATGTTATGCAAAGATACGAACGATCGTCACTACTATGTACACAACTTAAGCAGCTGTGAAATTAAAGCTTGACTGAACAAATTTAGGCTTAAAAGAATGAAAGATTGAATCTCGCCCAATTTACTTTTGTACCTTCTACTTCAGTAGGGGTTTGGACTGAAACTGTGCGGCATGATTATTTCGTTTAGCTTCTTAAAAGGCATTTTTAAATGTCGAAAGGAAAACAAAAACAACATAGAGTTTAAGGGAAAGAATTAAAGAGACAAGCAGCTTGCTTCAACTAAAACGTGCACCTAAAAAACAAAAGCAACAGCCACTGAAGAAAAACGAGAAAAGAAAAACAATGATATAAATTATTCGTTTAACTGGAACTTTCTTGCTTAATAACTCATCTATCAATACCTGTTGTTGTAACACCTTTAATTGCGCAATGTTAATAACTTCATTTGTTATATTATTTATGGAACCAAATTTGAGCTGTTGTTCGAAAATCTAGCCTTTTCTCTGAAATTTTTTCAAAAAAAACTTTGATGTCATTTTTTTTTTTCATTTTTAATATCACCATTAATGGACTGTCAAAATATATCCCTATTCACCATAACTCAAACATCTTTTGTTAAATGAGTATGCAAAGTAAAAACAGGGAACAGAATGATTTATAGCTTGAATAGTACAAGGGTTTAAATACTTTATGGCCTGAAAATGTCTGTTGGCGTCGATCCTTATTTAAAAAAAAGACTAAAAATGACGAGTAGTTTATGTGGGAACCGAGAAAAAAGAAGCAAATCAATCATTACAAGATCTGTCATTGATCTGAAGCGAATGTAAAGAAAGTCGAAATGGCAGCAACAACATTAAACGAAAAAAAATTATGTACGATAACAGTTACTACATTAACCTGCACAAAATTATTCTGAACTTGAGATAATCTGTTTTAAACTAGGATTGCAAGACAAGTGAAATCATGGCCCTATATTACTTGTTTGGAAAGAAATCATATTACTTTAGAATTAAACTTGCCATGAATTATTTAACAAATAAAGAAGCTTAAGTAAATATATTAACAAGACGGCCATCGTCGACAGCAATTTAAAAAACACAGCCAATCAGAGCGCGCAGGATTCAAGATGTTTTCCGAAGGTTAACAAATAAATATGTCTTTCTGCATTTACCAAACATCTAAGATTCTCCGAACAGTGAGGAGAACATGCACCTATCAATTTGACTTCATCTCAAAGGAGTTTTGTTTAAAGTTCCTCCCGTGACTGTGGAAGCCAAGGGGCCCATTGATAGATCATGTATGTAAAGTAGAGAACACAGTTCGTGAACAAGGAGGTTTTTTTCTTAAGGTTGGTTTTCAATAGCGACGAAGACGTAGTCGGTGTCGTAAGAGTGCTTATATTTGACCTAGTGAACATCGAAAATTGGATTCGCAGGCGGAGTTACAAGCTCGATGGAATCGGAGTCGGAAGAATCAGAACGTTTCCATTTTTTCCGATTCCGTCTTCGAACCTGTCGCTTATGATCCAGTGAAAGGATCGAGCGTTATGATTGGTTTATTCTTCCGCTTCTGCTTCCGACTCCGACAATCTAGTTTTGACTATATCATAAGCGACGGAGTCATAAGCAGAATCGGTGTTCTGCTTCCGAACCCGTCGGTTTGAGCTAGTAGACGCGCTTACCATTTGTTTTAGCTCAAATTTCAAATGAATGTAGGCCTTTTTATTCCTTCCTTTTATTCCGACGTTTCGGGACTATATAGGCATTTGGTGGGAGATTTAGGTCATTCTAGGTCTGTCAGTGTTCGTGTTCGTCCACATTTTTAATTTAGCTTTTGTTATAACAGCTTGTATGTATAATTTTAAAATTTTCTATCTTACTCATTTTGTACCCTTTCTGCGGGGTCTCGAACTGCTGCATTAGATAAGGAAAACGTTTCCACATATTTTTTTGGGTCACATCCAAAAGGTGGTTTTTTAGCGGTTTTTCGTATCTAGCGTAGCGCAGGTTCAAACCGGTAGAACCGATAGTTGTAATTTCCACGGATACAGAGTATCTCATTAGCCTGAATACAGCTGCATCATATAACTACTGCACGACTGACGCAATAAACTATTCACAATGAATGTCTCGTGTTAGTGTAGTGAGAATGATGTTGTTATGTACTCTTGCTGTAGTTTACAAATCTCATTGTCTGTTGGTTTACTTTACAGCTGACTTCAGCATGGAAGGTAACACCACTTCCTCTCCCTCGTCGACGGCCAGTTTGAATCCTCCGCCTCTGAGTAACCTCGACACTACTATTGTAGTGTTATTCCGTGTGATCGCTGCCGCTTCCTTTGTATTCAACTTGTTGTTCTGTATCGTGCTTCTTAGGAAACCGTCCATGTTAAGAAAACCCCATAATATTCTTCTGTTCAGTTTAGCCGTGGCGGATATGCTCAGTGGTGAGGTTATATGCAAATGAGTTGAGGAACCTTTGCATCAACTACTTTTTATCTTGACTGGCTCTCTTAATTAACTATTGTCTTCTGTGAGACTGTCAATGCCCCTTAGTTGTTTTTTAAAAAGTTGCAAGGTGGCTTTGAATTCCGTCAGCAGAATGCTAACAAAATGTCTGCAAGTGCAGTTATTTTGATTAGGTGAAAAAGATTTCAAAAGGAGAAGCTTTTACTGTGTTGTTTTAAAGGACGGACCTTAATTTTTTTCTCTCAATTTTAGGTTGTGCATGATTATTTTTGTAGCCCAATAATTTGATGCCAATTTGGCATCAACAATAGCACCCGGATAGTAGAAAGCACTTGTTCGATTTTTTTTCCGTATGGGCTCCCTTGCACGATTTCTTTTTTCAGCCTTTTTTTTCGCGCACAAATGTTTTTTTTTTTTTTTTTTTTGCAAATTGCCCAACCCCTCCTCAAGAATAATGGTCCGTCCTCTGAAAGTTGAAACTTTTAGATCCTTGACCTCTAAGACCTGTTAAGATATATACTCAACGATAGTCGTCAAAGTCATTGTAGTGACCACAGTTTTCATGTAACGTGCATTCATTGCTTTTTTCTTTCAGGAATCTTCCTCGTAGCTACTCCTGGATACGCCATTCCCACGTCTGCATACCCAGTCCCTCTCGGATTAGGCGGAGAGATTTTTTGCCGCCTGTTTGCAAACAGATATCTTCTGTTTGCAATGGGAAAAGTTTCCATCCTTCTTGTGGCCTGCCTTGCTATCGAGCGATGGTACTGCGTGCTTCGGCCAATCAGATACAAGGATCAGTTTAGCAGAAAACGTATCATCCTTTACGTTTTCGTCATGTTTATCATCACGTGTATTCTTTCCATGAATAAGTTTTTTGAGACTAGTCTTGATGGCAAGAAGTGTATTTCTAAGAAAGCACCGTACGGCAAGTATGGTACAAGGGCTTTTATCATCTCCTTCAGTCTGGTCGCATTTTACATCCCTTGTCTGTTGACATGGATAACGTTTGCCCATATAGCAATAAATCTTCCGTCATCTCCCGGGGAAAGCACTGAGAGTGTAAACAAACGGAGGCGACAGAAACTAGTACTGCGCATGTGCGCTTTAACTGCAGCAGCCTTGACAGTTTGCGGTTTTCCTTCGCAGACCATCTACGTTCTCAGTCCTTTTGGTATCACACAAATTGGCAGCCCATTGCATAAGGGATTTAATGTACTGGTGTTTGTTAATTCTTGCATGAATCCGTTGATTTATTGTTTCACTAACAAGGAATACAGAAGGGAATTTAAAAAACTTTTGGGATTCCACAGAGGCAATGGAATATCTCCAGAGACTGAGCTGGGCTCGACTCGGACTCAAACGCCAGCCGGTAAATAAACACACGGTGCTTTTCATTAATCGCCAATGGGGTCTGCTGGCGCTTATGGGAAATGTTTCGTAATTAATGGCCTTGATGCAAACGCACAGTACCAGTATCTTTTTTAGTCTACTGATTTACAATGACGCCGGTCAGGTCTGGCAGTCCTGCAATTGACTAACTAACTCCATGATAGAAAATGAAGTGGCAGACAAAAAACTCTTTTGCTCTCAGCAGTTATTTTAAAGCCCTAGCCAGCCCATTTGAAGACCATCAGTAACCGAATAAGGTTTTGGTCTAATTCTATTCAGGAACGTCTCGCTGAAAAAACAAATTCCCTTGCCTCATTCAATAATTAATACAAGGATTAATATTATTTTAAATGAGAATTAATGTATGGATACTATATCGCCGGAACCTTGCTCATAGCCAGTTGTTTTACTTTGAGCTCTCGCTGAAGCAAGACTAGAGGGTAATATCACAAAAGAACATAACCCCAGAAGTGATTTGAATCCCCTTTTGAGACAAAAAGAAATCGACAAAGTTCACTTGTAAATATTCTTTAAAATTATCTGTCTTGACGAAATGCACCTGCCACCGACAAGGTAGAGGTGTGGCAAACTGCAAAAACTTTAAAACCATTGATGTACTTACTCTTTGACAACATAGTTATTGAAAATAAACATGATTATCACAACGTTGTAAATACAAGTATATAATCATTTCACAGTGGCAAGTAAATACATATCTATTCACTCGGTACTGAATGTTTGTTCTTGGCTTAACTAAACCATAATAACAACGTTATTCTAATAATATTTGCAACATCTGACTTAGTCTTGTCATGTTAGTTCTCTGTTTTATTGAAATTTTCGTTTCTATGGGGAGATAATTCCAAAATCTTTAAAGTATATGAATGCCTCTAGTTTTATCGATTTTAGAGATCAAATTTTGACATTTCCTAACAATATTTGAAAATTTTAAAATCCAAGAAGCGGATTCAAGATGGCAGACGTTTTGAAAATGTAGGACGGCATTTTGACGTAATATGACGACAAAATTGGCGCTAAATTCCACTAAAAATAGAAAGCCTGGCTCTAGGGCTGTGCCACCGAGAATTCCTCTTTCGTCAGTGTATCACAAAAAGTGCAACCAAGCTCGGAAGGTCTTGCAAGAAACAAACCATTGTACACCTCTTCGAAATCATGTTCCTTTTCGACGTTACCTTCATTGTCCTACGATAGAAAATAGAAAGATAAAATCCAGACATGCTGGGGAAAGCTAACTGACACCTGCATATAGCCCGCGTTCCTAAAAGAGATATTTGATTCAAGTATCTGCAAAATGAGGTGTTTAATCGAGTGGTACTTGCGTGGAGGTCACAGATTTGCTGAGATTTCTTTGCATCGTCCTTGATGGTCGACCCGTGAGGGTACAAAGTAACGGTCACTCAATGTTTATCACAAAAATTATCTAACTTAAAGACTAACACCTTTGCAGTAGCTGAAAGCAAGAAGGAAAGAGTTGCCTGAGAAAGTAATGGTATGGACCACCGGCGCTAAGATATTTAGCGACCACAAGCATTAACATCCCTTGTTATGTTAGAATTTTTGACTGGCATAATAAAAATTAAAGGAGCACAGTAGAAATAGTAAAATACACGGTAAGTGTATGTCCAAAAATTGAATTAAAGAAAACCTTCTCTAGTGCTGACGGCGCGAAATAAATCACCGAAGAAAGACAACTTGTGCATTGATGTAGTGACCGAGAGATTCGGACTGAGACGGAGACTGTGGAGACAAAAAAATTGCCTGACTTAGGAGAAAAGAGTCATTCTGTGAGGGAGGAGCCCGCGTCTTACACTAAGGAGCTCCTTTTAGATAAGGCGGGGATAGGGGGTTCAGCGTTGGTGCCCGGTAGTCCTGCCTCTCAAATTTGCCCGGGGTACGTGAAACCAGAAATGCAAATAAAGTACTTCTGTGTAAGATGCAACTTTTGTTTAAAGTATTCTTCAGCAGCGAGGAAAAGGATGCCCTACGAGCGCTGAAATATCCCAGTTATACGCAGACTTTCCCTCAGCCAATTGCTTCGGAGGTTGTAAAAAAACAGTAGATAGCCTGAGCTCAGACTGATGCCTTAGGGGCAAGGGGGCTAGGGAGGGGATGGGGGAGGGGATGGGGAAGGGGTGCGGTTCTCCCCTAAACCCCCCCAGTATTTTTGTTTTACAAGACTCTTTTGTATAAGAATTCGCTCGAGGTTAAAATTAGCTTAACTTTAAGATGTGTTAAGAATATAACCAAGGCTGAGATTTTGTTAAGAACATGTTTTCGTGTTGATGGAAAATACTTATACAATAAGAAGTCATATATCGCATGGTTTTGGATAGTGGCTAACAAAACGATAAAATAATGCAATAATGCAATGCTGATTTGATGAAAATAATTGCCCCATTCCTGCTTACATGTACAAGAGATGTCTGCTAAGTATAAGGCATCGAAAATTACCTATTTTGGTTTGAAATACGGTTGAACCCGGCTTCTCGAACCAGCCTGCTCGACCTCATAAGGGAAACGAAAAATTAGCCTGCGTAGCAAGCGTTTACGTGGGTTTGGGGAACAAAGAACGGGATTTTCGGTGTTTGGCAAATCACCGAAAATTCTCGTTCCGTCTTTCTTTGCTCCCCAACCACGCGGAAACGCTCTGCTACGAAGGCTACACCAGACATTTCATGTACTCAGCCCGGCTGTCATGTCTATATTCAACGACGGAGTCCGGTATTTACTAAATATTAGAGGGGCAGCTGGGAGAGGCAACAGATGCTGTCAAAACAAGGGTATTTCTTCTAAAAGAAAACTGAAAATAGAAAGGGACTTTTTTGACCGAGGTTTCAGTTACGATTCGCCTCCCAAGAAAACAAAACTGACAATCAAGCATGGATGGGTCCCAGGTTTGACAATTTGCAAGACTTGCAACGGAATATAAATTTCTTATTTCGAGCGGGGCTTTCATTGAACCTTTCACAATCTGTTTGTGATCTATTTTTGGTTGTAGTTTTCTTCTTTTCGATCCGTCTGGCGTGAATGCGGGAAATCAGGAGAATAATATTTACAGAGTAAGGAAGGGCAATATGCAAATTTCAAAGTCAGACCACTTTTTTTCACTGTAACGTGTGACTTCCGGTACACGTGGGTGACATGCGAACTCACCATCCGAGCTTGCCAAATCAGGCGGTAAATTTTTGCGGAAGCCGCCTTTTTTCATAATTACCGTATGCAAAAGGAGAATATATTGATTTCTTTACGCTTGTGAAATTGTAATCGGGACCTACAAACTTGCAAGAGCGTGTGTAAATCTGTCACTCTCCTGTTGTTCAGACCTTTTAATTGCAAATAGTATTTCTTTTGTTTTTAAATCAAAAAAGGACTTGCCGACAAATGAAACATTTATTGACATATTCTTTTACGTGCATTTTTCTGGTCTAGATTGATTTAGAGGATCCTGACTTTGTTTATTCCATTTACACTTTGTTGCCTGTTCGAGTGATTGTGTTACATAATGTTGGAAATTCATTTCCGGTTTGTGATAAGGTCACGTTCAGGGATATATCCGGTCTAGCAAGTTTTGCTGCTTGGTAACCCGTCTTTCAATTCTGCGCTCTCTGATTGGCTGAACCAGCCCAAACCGCTATGAACATGTTTTTGTTGTGTACAAGAAAAATTTTTTCCCCTCGCGAGCTGGAAAGACCGGCCAAACAGCATTTGAAAAATGTACTCGTTGTAGGTCAAGCAGTCTTTTCATCGCTCTCGTATTTCGACCGTTTATAGCAGGAAATATGAAGTTTACAGTGTTGGAGGCCGATGGCAAGGCACACGAATTTGTTCTTACGGGGCACAAACTCGGGCAACAGGTTCTGGACAAGGTGAGAAGCACTAGAAACGCTGAAGTTGCAAATGTACTTAGTTGACAATTTTTTTCGTGAACGGCCATTTATTGTTCGCTAACAACGTGTACTGTTTTCGTTAGGTCTGTGAGAAGCTGGGAATCAAGGAAAAAAATTATTTTGGTCTTCGAAACTCTGTCAATGATATCAGCGTCTGGCTAAATCTGAGAAATCCGGTTTCAACTCAGCTTCGCCCACATTTGCCTGGAAAACCTCATCGACTTCGCCTCGAAGTTAAATTTTTCGTTGCACCCCAAGAACTTCAACAGGAGGAAACGAGGTAGGCTGCTTTTGCTTTCATTTTGTGCGAGTTTGAAAGGCCAGAAGATTGCACTAATTCGAAACTTGTTGTGCTGGGTTTACTCGGAGAAAGCCAGTTGTGCATTACAATCAGGTGAAAAGTGAATCTATAAATAGCCGTTCGTTACTTTGAAATTTGTGGTCGAGCCTTGGACTCGAATTTTTGATCTCTTCAAATAACGTGTTGGTTTTCATCTTGCAGACACCAGTTTTATCTCTGTCTCAAAAAGCAAATCGCCGAAGGAAAGTTCAACTTGACGCAGGAGAAGGCTGTTCAACTGTGTGCTCTGATGGCTCAGGTGGAGTATGGAGATTTACACTCGAACGCGCCAAGAAGCTACCCCCAATTTCTTTCTCCCTGGAGCAGGGACGACATGGAAAGAAAAATAGCTGAGGCCCATAGGAAGCTAGAAGGGATGTCTTCATCAATTGCAAGAGATGCATTTCTTAATGTTATGTCCAAGGAGGAGCTCTATGATGCAGAAATTTTCAAGGCCAAGGCAGGAGGACAGAAAGTTTTAGTTGCAGTAGGAAGTAGTGGCTTGAAAGTTTACGAGAGAAGAACTCATGGGAAACTTAAGCAAACGTAAGTTGGCTGTAATATATTTTTGCTCATTTGGTACTTGGATGGTTAAAGATCACAAATAACTTATTCGATTGTATGCATATGATATGGGCTAATTAGCTTTGGTTAAATATTTGCTCATAACCTTTACCTCTGGAGAAAACAGTGGATGTGTAAAAGACTTAAGTCTGCTAAAAAACAGAATTTACAATTTTTTTCAGCAAATGTTTATATAGTAGGAGTGATTAGTGAGTTTGGGATCCATTGTTCTTTGACCTTGAATAAATTTCGTTATATTTAGCTCTTGTCTGATTGGTGCTTCTGGCCTTTTTCATGCTATTACACTTGGATGTGACTGTGTACTTCAATAGCAGTTGGATTGTTTGTTACCATTTGTATAAATTTTCTCTTTTCCGTGTAGCCTGAGGTCAGGAACGTGTTGGCGTAGTTATGAATAAGTAAAGGAATAAATACTATGCACAAAAATAATCCAAAATACATTTAAATTCATATATATGGGGAGCAGGGATGGCGCAGTGGTGAGAACGCTCGCTTCCCATCAGTGTGGCCCGGGTTTGATTCCGGCCTGGTGCCATAAGTGGGTTGAGTTTGTTGCTGGTTCTTGCCTTGTTCCGAGGGTTTTTCTCTGGGTTCTCCAGTTTTTCTCCCTCTACAAAAACCAACACTCCAAATTCCAACTTTACCAGGATATTAAGGACCCTTATTAAAACCAGCTAAGGCTGATTTGGCTTCCTCTCTCTAAATAGTGCAATCACTCAATTCAGAAAAACAAAGTAGTAGAAAAAGATGAACTTTCTAGTTTTGGCTTTTCTTCAGATAACGTATTTACAGCCATACTTAGCAATCATTATTGGAGGACTACTAATTGGGGTCTAATGGTCATGAAAATAATGGAAAAGTCAGTCAGATCTTCATCCTGTTGAATACAATCTTCTTGGAGTCATTTATCCAACAACCTCAGCTCTAAGCTGTTACTTCTGTTTCCCAAACTCTTAGTTCTGTGTAAACAGTTTATATGTACATACATGTACAATTAGGTGACTTAACACAAGTTTGGTAGTAGCATCAGTTAAACATCAATAGTCTCTTAATGCTGTTTGTGTTTGAAGCAAATCTTTTTATCTGTAGGCAGTGGATGTATGTTTGGGGAGGACAAGAGCTATTTTTGAAGTTCCCTTCATGTAGATTCAAGGGTCTTCTTTAGAAGGAAGGGGACTTGTTTTTGTAGGGCCAATTTTTTTGCCATGGTGGCCTCGGCCCTTTTCTGTTACGATGGTTACAGAGATTTGTATGTACACCTTAACAGATGAAATACTTGAACCAGGGAGTTTCAAAATGTCCTGTCAGTGGGGAACAGGAGTGATTACAATTCAATCAGTTGTTGGTTCTCATCCTTGGGCTGTCTGTGGGTTCTCTGGTTTTCCTCTCTCCAAACCAACACATCAAATTCTAATATTTCAGTCTCTCAACTGTTATGTGTCCACAATTAGTAGGCCTTGTAGGCCTGCTAGACGCTAAGGACACATTAGTAGCATTACTTATTTTGAAAGTTATTTAGTTACAAATTCAGTTTTTAGTTACAATTTTGATCTTGGACATCTTCTTTCATTCACCAATGGCAAGTTAATTAGTGCCTTGGCTTCAGATGAGTGGTACAGCCTATGATTGTTTATAACTTACAAGAATTTTTCTCTTGATCTGACAGCATTGGGTTTGAGAGCATCATGAAGATGAACCTGTCTGAAGAGCGGCTGATTGTTGTTTTGAAAAAAGCATCGGAGAACAGCAAGTTAAACTTTGTCCACTTCTTCCTTGCCAGTGGTGACGCTGCAAAGGCAATCCATAAGGCTGTCATGGAGCACCAGCTGTTTTTCTACTCAAGTAAAGTGCGGCAATCAGTTCTCAATCACTACTTACTTTCCACTCCTTGTTGGGCCCTACCAGCCAAGTGGTTCACCAAGACACCGTCGTGTGAACTGTACCACTTAGATGTCAAGCATACTAGGCGTCAGGCCTATGACCTTCACTATGAACATGTCCATGAGAATAGTGACACTGTGTTCAGACAGGAGTGGGTGTCAAAATGTTCCAAGTGTAACTCTGCAGAAGCAAATACACTGTTCACACCTTGTGGCCACTTGGTTTTCTGTGGAGACTGCACTGAGGATGGAACTGTGTGCCCAGTGTGTAACTGTGCTGTGACAAGCTGGCAAAGAGTTTATTTTTCTAATGATTCAGAATGTGATGACTGGACTTGCCAGATTTGCATGGACTCTGAAATTAACACAGCATTTTCTCCTTGTGGACATGTGTGTTCCTGTGAGAGCTGTTCACGCCATCTTCCCTACTGTCCCATGTGCAAGACATTTATTACTTTTGTTCAGAGAATTCATGTCCAGTTCCCAGAACATCCTGGTGAAAGTGATAATGATGATGATGATGATGGAAACGATTCATCTTGAGGTTGACTTATACATGACTTTGTTAAATTGTTTTAGTGACGTGAACTTTTGTGGGAAATAAGGAAAATAGATATTAGTGATTGATTGATTGATTGATTGAGAGAATTACTGATTGATCATAATTTAACTTATTTTGTATGGGTGACATTACATTTTGAGCATTTGTTTGAGTCATTTGTCCAAGCCATCACTTTCTTTCAGTTCAAATATGATGATTGTGTTACTTTATTGTCACTTGCAAACTTATCTTTATTTTTGTACCCCTTAAAACTGGATACTCATTCATGCAATTAATTATTGTTGTTCAGAAACATTTATTTATTTTACTAAGAGAATATATTTAATATATCACAGTCAACCTAATCAACTTTTAAGATCTTTAATTTTGTAGGTTTCCATTTCATTTTGATTACTTTTTAGACATGGCATTACTTAATTAAGTCACCGGTGTACAGGTTTAACTTAAAAAGTGGGGAAAAAAAACAAAAAAGTCATTTCTCATTATAGGCAGGATGTACCATGCGGTTTTGATTTTTGCAACTATACCTAAATCCAGTTAATGTCTACATGGTTGTGTGATGGTTTCAAAATCCATATTAATATATTTGTGATCAGTTAGTTTTTGGTTTCAACTATTTGTGGATCATTTCCATGCATTTAAGCTCCCTTATGTCCAAATATTATATCCCTAGCCAATTTACAGGGATAAACTGAAACAAAAGTTAACTTACCCAAAGAAAATTGAAATCAAAAATTAACTACAACATAGACATATTTGTAGTGGAAACAGGTCTAAGTGGAGTCAAATCTGGTCTAATTGCAAGCTAAATAAGAGGACTGTGAATTGGGAATCCTAAATTTTGCTTGATTGCAAGCAAGGATGCAGAATTGGACCTGCTAGCAACAAATCAAAACTATACCTCTATAGCTGTAAATTTAATTTGACAAAACTGTTGATTAAACCCCTTGATAAACGAAAATTATAACAGTTGAGTTCGTTTTTAACCAAGATACATAAGAAAAGTATTCATTCAAGTCGTAATGTCCAAATTACTCTGCCACTTTTCCACACTGCTTATTTTGGCTTAATATGGACCTACTGATAATAATATTATTGAATTTGATTTTTATTTGATAGTAATAGTTTTGCTGAAGTTCTGAATGTAATTGCCCCTTTTGACATCGAGATCTATTGAGTAATATATATAGTATCTATTTATTTTTAATCTAGTTTAAGGTTTAGGACACAACTTTGCGCTTTGAAAAAAAGTGATAACTATTTATAGATGAACAGATTCTTGAAACTGTGTAAGGGTTTGGTTGCAAGGGCTAGAACCTAGTGAACCTCGTTGTAAAGAATGTCAAGATTATAAAATTAATATAATTATCAAGATATTGTAAATGATGTGAGTCTGTATTGTACATTAATTTTGTTTCCTTTTAGCAGAGAAAACAGTTACTTCATCTTTTTTCCCATGGAAAAGTGCGATAAGTTAAAGAAAAATAAAGTTCTAAAACGTTGATAAAAAGAGTACTTATTAAAGGATATTTGTTTTAAAATGTAGTCTTTTTGTTGTTCTATTATTTTGTGGATTGTCAGTGACTTGGGTTTACTAGTATGTGCTGGACATAATATAACTCTCTAGCTCTATTGTCGAGCGTGAAAGTGGAAGAATCGAACAAAAGGAACAATTTATTTAATCACCAAATTCGGAAGATAGAGAAATATGGTTTAAGAGCTAGATGAAGCTGGCAGGATTTTGTCTGAAAAAGTGCTCTTTTTCAGCGGCATATCGTTGAACACCGGAAGGAACTACAACCAACTCAAACGAGGGTGGGCGAGGGGTTCAAAAAGAGCAGAAACAGTGCCACAAGTGACTAACAGAAGCGATTGGGTAAACAAAATGAGAGTTTGACAGACCCTCTCCCACAAATAACGGAAAGGGGCATTCATAGGCTGAATATAGAAAACGTCGGTCTTCGATTTTCTAGTCTGCGTAGCAAGGTTCCCGTATGAAGAGCATTCCCGCACTCTGGCAGCGCGTAAACTGGAGCGAGAGCAAAAAATGCGGAAAAGTAAAGCTCTTCGCACAGAAACGCTGGTTACGTAAGCTACCGATTTTCCTGCACGTAGAAGGATTTCAAAAGTGCTAATTTTCTCTTTCAAGGATAAAGAAACACTTGAAATTCAACGTGCACTTAGCTAGCCCTATTCTGGACGGTGCTCGGACAGTTTTAGATGATCCTCCGAATTGCGGTCACTTTCACCAACGAGTGTTTAGCCAACGACTCGTTCGCCAACGTCTTAGGCCGATTCGTCAGCGTCCTATGTCGCTTCGCCAACGTCCTACTGGTCAATTCGCCAACGTCAGGTATCCTCTTAGTCGGATAAGTGCGGCTTGGCGCACTGGAGGCCAATGTCGAAGCCTAGATGCAAAAAATGTACCCAGGCGTTGAATAAATCTAAACGGTTTAGCTGTCTTCTGTCTTCAGTAGGAATAAAAACAGGTTCACTTGACCAGCACTACTCAAATTACTCATATTAGACAGGAAGTTCTGATATAAAATGGAAAGCATATCTTATATTTGTCACCTTTCACTGGCAAAATTCAAACTTGTACCCTTCCATTCTTGCCGGGGCATTCATGGTTGTTTTTATATCTCTCAGTTAGTACGCGCGCTGTGATCGGTCAATTTAGCGGGCCGTATTCTACTATACGGCCCGCTAAAATTTAAAGCCGTTATCGTTGCCAAAATGTTTCGTGATTTATCACGCTTGGGCCATAAATCGATGGGGGAAAAA